CCCCCCCCCGCCGGTGTTTGTCATCGGGGTTGAGGTTTCGTCGCCCGGCAGCGGTGTTGCAAAACAAGCCGATCACTTCGTGAGCTCGACAACCAGGTTGCCGCTTTCTTTTGGCCTTTGGTTTTTGTTTGCGGCAACCAATAATGGTGGTCGAGAAGATTGTGTTGTGCGGGGTTGAGAACCCTCACTCCGCGCAAAGGGGATGATCGCACCACGTTTTGTTGAATTGGTCAAGCACCCTCGAGGCAGTTACACAGTGCTTACAACTGTTTCAGGGAGTGAAAGCACCAGAAAATAAATTAATTCATACGCAGCTGTCATCCGTACGCAAGGAAGTAAGCACAAGATGCCGAACACCCTTAGCAGGATGCAGCGCACCCTTCATGCGACTCGCCGAATATCTCACGGCGCTTCGCGCTTGGTGATGTGAGAGCCTGGTCCGGTGAGAACCCGGCGTGCTCCGTCCCGGCTTTGTAGGGATGACAGGTCAATGGTCTAACGACTACGGCATGCACGACTATGAGTACACCCCCCACCCCCCCCGGTGAAAGATGAACTTGTTGTTTTTCTTTACATTAACTCGTGTCAGTTGCTAAGCCCAAAATCTAGCAAAGAAAGACTCGGTCCGTGGTCACAAAAATGCTAGAGCCATCATCAAAAGATCTGAAGAACATACACACACTACTAGCAAGGAAAGGGTCCGCAAGCCCGAGGAGGTACACCTGCAATCCCTGCAGCACGATTGCGTGCTCACAACTGAAATATACGCCCACACACTGCAAATCGACCACAGCAGCAGCATCACCCCCCTTGTCCCGCATTTAACCAAAATGAATGTCGACTACAGTGTACTGCTGTCTGAAGTGCTGCCTGTACAATAATAACACCATGGTGCATGGTACACAAGCTCGGGGCGGCTGCCAGAATGAGTCCGTGGACATGCAGTGAAGAAGAACACCCAACCAAAGCCATCATTGCAATTGACAATCACCCGAATCTATCCAGATCATCTGAGTTAGGCACAGCAGTGTAAATATCGACACTGACTAGAAATCGTTCCACATTGAAAGGGTTTTCAACGATACAGGTACACCATTAAAAGCACCCGGGTTATCCGCGCCATCTCTGCCGCGTCTCTCTACAAAACTAGTGACGTCGTCACACCCATCCAACACCCATAGTCTATTCAGGAAAAAAACGGAAAAATTATTGACAACACAACAGATGTTTGTCCGTGCGCCACGGTTCGATGCCGTCCACCTGCTCCGGTTCCGCTGCTCCGGTGCCGCTGCTCCGGTGCCGCTGTGGCCAGTCCTAGCACGACCAATCTCGACCCGCTCCGCTTCGTACACGCTCTCGTTGCTTTCCATCCCAGTCGGTTCCTCGCTTTCTCCCTCGTTGCGCTTAGGGTTCTTGGTCTAAAAATCCAAGGGTCAACCAGCACAATCAGCTCGTCACCACCTGTCCCCTCCTCCTTTGATGGCAAAACCAGGCTACTGAGACAGTACAGCTCTATCTAGCAAACCTAGGGCCGTGTGCATAGTGCCCCTCCACCTTTCTGATGACGTCTGCCTCCGCGCACAAAGATGAGATGGGCATTGCTGCCTACACCGACGGCCTGGAGGCCCGCGCATCTGCACCTTTGTACCTGACGCACCAGTGCCGACCCAACTCCGCCACTACGCACGCCTCGCGGCGGGTGCGCCGCAGCAAGAAGGTATCGGTCCCTTGGGGGTGAGTCTAGACCTGCTCGCTAGAAGACCCCCCCCTCGCTATGGGTCATGCCTACGCAAAACCTTGCCGAGGCAGCGAGGGGAAGAAAGAAAATGATATGAACTTGAAGAATAATGGCAGCTGTGCTTTTCATCCCCCTCGCCCCGCCGGAGCAAATTCCTTTCCAGTTCGCCCTGCGCCCCTAGGAAACACGACAGCCCATGCCTCCCTCCATCAATAAAAAGGGCATACAACGGTGATACTCAAAACAACAACGCATTACATGTCTCGATAATTTCCTATGGTACAGACTGAATTCTCTCACTCTTGAAAAAACAAACCCGTTCCCCCGCCCACCAACATCCATGCTCACCCATCTTTATCGCCGACGTAACCATGCCGCGAACCTCGGCCCACCGTGCGGCCGTTACCGGTACTCCCGCCCAGACCTCCCCGTTCTCCTCCTTCGAAGCGTTCCCTAGCATCTCCCATCGCCGCGCGAAGTCATGTGCTTCCAGCTGTAGTAGATTTCGTGGATTGCGTAACGGTTGAAGATGACACGGGGCAGTGGTGCGTTGCGAATGCTGAGTGGTGTAATCTGGATATGGTCATGTGAACACTACCTGCAGCCCTTCACATGGAAGAACCTACCCATTCACATGAACTCGACAGCCGTCTGACGGCAGTTGCGGCAGGAAGAACACCCGAGCCCGGACAAAGCGCCATGAAAAAACCCACGGGCGTCCGAACTCTCAGTTTTACGAGAACGGGTGTCCCGGCGAAGAACCAACGATCGCATATCTGTCGACATAGCTCGGCCATACAACAGCAGTGGCTGGATGTCCCCTAGTTTGTGGGTCTGAATCTCTCATGAGGGAAGAAAACAACAGTCTAGTATTGAAAACGTAGCACGGTCGCGAGCAAGTACACACAGCATTCGGAGGAAAACGACAGCTGGACTTTCTCGCGAAACCGATGGATGGGCAAGCACGGCAAGGGGGGCTGACAACTCCTTCTGCGTGCTGCTGCTAGCGCGTCAAAAGTTTACCTCACACATTTAGACTGGCGAACAGAATAGCTCGGGACGAAAAAAAAAAAAACAGTCGCGCACAGACCACACCTTCGAGCTATGTAAAAGTGCCGAACGTCGGCACCGCCTACAACGGACGAACGCCACTAGCCTTATTGCAAAGGGTGCCAAAATCAGCGAGTAGTAAAACTTCGTTAACGGACAACACATCGTGGCTATGCGGCCTCTTCCCCGTACCATTCTGCCGGGGGG